TAATAATAATAATAAATGGCTGTTTGCATACCATTGAGCCCTTACAAGCATAACCAGAATCTAGGAGAGGAAGATGGCCAGGAGGAGAACAGGACATCAGCTCAACGACATCGCAACACACTGCCCACCACACACTGCTTTGTGTTGCTGTCACCACCTCCAGGCTGAGACATCGCTACAATAAAATGTGCTTATAAATAAATGAGTAGCCATCACACAGCTTGCTGTTTCCAGGTAGCAGCAAGGGAACAGATCTGTTTCCTGAGGCAGGTCGCTGTACACGCCAGGCGTCAGCCCAGCTTATGGCTGAGTGGTGCTCTCCCTGTGGGAGTGCACTGACCACCAAGGGGCAGCTCCTGTGTTGAGTATCTGCCCCCTGGTGGTCAGTACACATCATAGCGACCAGTCTTTCCACTGTTGTGTTGATTTGCATATTACCCTTTTATTATATAGGATGCTAGTTACAAAAAAGAAATAGAATGTTGTGGGGGACCTCTTCCTGGGTCCCCCATCCTTATCACCACACCCCACATCCCCAAAGGAGCCCCTGGCCTCACTTGAAAGCTAATTGTGTCCTTGTTTTTCTTTATGTTTATCACCCCAGCATGCTGCCCTTCATACGATGGCTTTGCACATGTTTTTCTTAAGGATGGAAAGCAATTTGTCTATATATGGAAAGCAATTACAGTCTGTTTCCTCCCATTCAAGTTCAGGAATCTGCCCATCCCATAATATGCCTTTTGCAGAACCATTACCCACAACCTGGAGTGGAGTCAGAACTGTGACCATTGGGGAGGGAAGCTGCAGGGCTTGAGCAGGCATAGTAGACACTCCCACACCAACGCCAAGTCCTGCATTTTCAGCAGGTATCCTGCCTGCAGCCCCCTCCTGGGTCCCTGATCCTGGCCAGCCCACTCTCTCCCCAGAGGACCAAAGGAGCAAGTTACAGCATCTCTGTGGTCAGAAGGGCTGGGCCACCCCGGTTTCCAGTTTCCTCCAGTTTGCAGATGAATGGGAAGGAGAGACACTGAGAAACCTCAGATAATCTAATCGTATGCAAAAGAGGAACTTATCACCCGCAGGCCATCAGATCTGAGAAGTCTTCTAGCCCCACTTCTTCAATTTGCATACGAAGACACAGAGGTGCAGAGAGAGCAAGTGAGTTGCCTACATCACAGGGGTGTCCTGTCTCAGGCACCTGTCTCACGGGGAGCCACGTCATCCGTCTGTCTGCTGGGAAACAGGAAGCTGTTTGTGTTAATCTGAGAGGAGAGAATTGTCAACTCTTCCCATGAGGTAAAGGTGGAAATTTCAGTCAGTCAGTCAGTCAGTCAGTCAATCATTCATCCAACAACCATCTACTGTGCCCTCAGGTTTCCAGTAAAGGGGTGAATACGAGAGACTCAACTCTTGCCTTTGAGAAGAGCAACTTCTGGTTGGGAGACAGGCAGGTTACCTGACAATTCTGGGGGCGTAGGGGCATAGGATAGGTGGCTGTGATGGGCACAGCCTGGAAGTAGTCGGGCTGTTGCTCTTAGGAACTGGAAGGTAAGTTCTCAGGGAGAAACAGGCCAAGTGGACATGGTAAGGACTCTCAGGCAAGTCACAAGGGACATAAATTCTGCAGGTGAGCCTGGGAACTACTGGACTCGGGGATGGTGTTCTCGATGCCACTCACTCCTCCATCAACTACCAAGTTATGTGCTGTTTGTGGCCAAACCCACCTCTGCCCCAACAGGAGTCAGTTCACCACCCATAGGGGACGCTCCCTCCACCCAGGATATATCCTGGCTCCTGGGGATCCCCAGACACGGGTGATAGCGCTGTCCGTGGTGCTGATTCAGAGGTGAGACGAGGCAGGACATGGCCCTTCTGGTGTGTGTGTGTGTGTGTGTGTGTGTGTGTGCAGATACTGAATATTGGTTTTCTAGACCAGTGCATGACTGGGCCACTGGATGCCCATATTAAACATCATTTGTGGGTGCATCTCTGAGGGTATTTCCAGATGAAATTAGCATTTAAATCTGTGGACTCAGGAGAGTGGCTTGCCCTTCCCCCGTGTGGGTGGGCACCATCCAATCCACAGAGAGCCCGAACCTAACCAAAAGCAGAGTAGTGTGTGTGCATACCAGTACTATTCGTGTGGTTACATCTCACATTGTTGTGCTTAACACAGGTAGTCTCTCCATTTTATCTTCCCCCTCCATTCCGAACCAGTGTTTGTGGAGTGGATGTTTCTCTCAACCAACTTCTCTGAGACCTAAGAGCCCAGGGTTGAGAGAAAGAGGGTAGAATTCAAATGGGGTTCAGTACACACTCCCTGAGGTCCAGGACTCGACTCTCTTTACTGAGGCTCCAATATTTGCTAGGGTTCTTTCCATCAACCCAGAGGTATGTCTTACATGGGGTTTGTGCTTGAATTCCAACTCAGAACAAAGTGATGGAAGATGGTAAGCTCAGGTGACCCCCAAATACAGAACCAATGACATATAAGGCTTCTCTGGAAGTCATTTCACTAATTTTATCCAGGTCTGTCCACTCATATGAGTGAGACTATGCGTCTACTGGGGAATCTTATATAATAAAAGCCTAATATGCTAAGTGTCCATTCAACCAATCAAAGAGTAATAAGCTAATGATATGTTAAGGCCACTCAACCGCTCACTATGACATGCACTGACCATCAGGGGGCAGACACTCCCACTGGTAGGTTAGCTTGCTGCTGGGGTCCGGCAGATCGGGACTGAGCGAGACAGGCTGGCCACACCCTGTAGCCCTCCCTTGGCCCCTCCCTGGCCCTAATCTGCACCAGTGGGGTCCCTCGGCCTGGCCTGTTCCCTCTCGCAATCTGGGACCCCTCAGGGGATGTCAGAGAGCCGGTTTCGGCCCCATCCCACAGGCCAGGCCAAGGGACCCCACTGGTGCACAAATTCATGCACCGGGTCTCTAGTCTCAGTAGTAATTACCAGGGTCTTGGAGAGCCCAACATTTCCCCCCTATATTCCTGAAAAGGCAGGTCTCCATCACCCCCACCAGGCAGGGCCACAGAGGACAGTGACTTTATTTGCATCACCAGAACCTAGCACAGGGCCGACCTCAGGAAATGACCATTAGACAAATGAACTAACAAGCCAGTGATGAGAACTGGCCCATCATGATCCTTAATGGTGACTTCACGGAGGTCATCTCTGAAATTGAGGCATCGTGGTTCCCAACATGAGGACAATACGGGCTACACAGTGCCCATCGTGTCCCTCAGGTTATCACTCATCACAGACCCACTCACCCTCAGGCTCTGCACCTCCTGGGTTGTCTAAGACTCTGCCCCCTTCATCATGAAGACCCTTGAACTCAGGGTCTGGGGATTTGCGTTTGGGGGCCCTGAGCCCCAGGATTTCTGGTCTCCTGGGTCTCAGGAATCTGAGTCTTTGGACTCCTGGGTCCCCCGGATTTCAGTTTCAGGGGTCTCCAAGGCCCTTGGCCACTGGAGGGGAAATGGATGTGCTAGGCCCCTGGGTTGGGTGGGAGAAGGTTGTCTCTGGGGCAGTGGTTTTCTCAGCTGCTTGGATCTCAGGGATCTGAGACTCCAGGCCCTGGGGCTCCTGGGTTAGGAAGGGTCTAAGCCTTTGGACCTGTACGTCTAGGGCAGTGGTTCCCAACATGGGGCATATGCCTCACAGGGGAGGGGCAACTTGATTTTTAAGGGGGGCAATTGGGGAATGAGTTATTAACAGTAAATTTTTTGCATTTCTTATGGTTCTAGGGATCTCATATACAGTATATAAATATATATTGTGACATATTTATGCACTTCAGCTCTCTATGATGTTTTGAAACTTTGCTATTTTTTCATATCACTTCATATTATTTTTTTTAAACAATTTCTTAGTGATTTCTTCCTCAGTACTTCAACTGTTCTTTCGTTCTTTCATTTTTCTCTTTCATGGATGCCATGTTCTTTGGAAGCTTGTTTAGACCAAGTTAATAGACTTTTAGGCTTCCTCCACGTGAATAGGAGTTCACTTTTTGAATAATAAGAATTATATGTCACGGTGGGGGGGGGGGGCATCAGGATTTTAGAGGTGATTAGGTGAGGCATGGCAAACAAAAGGTTGGGAACCACTGGTCTAGGGTCTCCACCTCGAGGCCGTTGGGTTACTGGAACCATGAGTCTCCATGGCTGTGCGCCTCGGGACTACTGGGCTTCAGGGTTCTGCACCTTCGGACCCCTCAGTCTCGGAGTCGGAGTCTGTAGGGTCTCCTAGTCCCATCAGGACCTCTCTCTCACCCTTCATCATCCAGCTCCACCTCCACATAACAGGAAACGTGTGCCAGTGCCCTGTCCAGGGCCTGCGCAGCGGATCCTAATCACATCCACTACCCAGGGCCAGCCAGGCGCAGGAACAGAGACCCTCCCATCCCACTTAAAAAAAAAAAAAAAAGAATCACTAACAGCTGACGTAAGCGCAGAGACCTCAGCTCACACACTGCTCCTCTCCCCATTCGACACGCTCACATGCACCAAAATCAATCCGCAGACATGCAGCAGAGACCGCCCTCCCTCACCACCACCACCACCAATCCGCAGACCCTAGGAGCCCCCACCCTCGGAAAGTCTGCCCTGTGCACGCGCTGTCCTCGCGATCGACCCCCGCACTCCCACCTTCAGCTTCCACCTGCAACCCCACCTCAAAGGGGAGACATATCATGCACCCTAACCATTAAAAGCCTATAATAATCCCACAAAAGCAGATAATGCGGACGCAGCCGGGCGCAGCCACTTGTCACACAGCTTGTCTGCGTCCCATGCCTCTGCGCAGGCGCAGAAAGGAAACGGGGCATTGCATTTGGGAAGCGGTAGGCAGAGCCCAAGGGGCCGCAAGGATTGCTGGGAGTTGTAGGCCGAGCTGGCCCAGTGGCCACAAGTGCTTTGAAAGTTGTTGCATGGGGTTCTGGGAGTCGTAGGCAAGTCAGCCCTACAGCCTTGTGGGAGTCGTAGTCCCCGGAGCCACTTCCGTGCGGGGCTTCCGCGTGTGTAGCAGCTTGGCCCTCCCAGCGCCACATTCTGCGTATTTCCTCCCGTGGCGGGTGGGACCGTGGGCGGCCGCTCTTCGTTGCGGTGTGTTGGGTGAGTTAGGGTCTCCAGGGGTGGTGACTCGCCTTTGTGATTTCCCAACGCCTGTATCCCCAGGCCTTCTGGCCAGGATCCCCACGTGGGACACTGCGGTTCGCCTGTCCCTTGCCCGCCCACCCCTCCCCCAAGTCGGGTTCGACCATCTCCCTGCCGCTGCCTCTAATCGGTAGTTCGTCCGGGAAGTCCCTTCTCTGCCCTAGAACCCCGTCATGATAGATGTCACACAGTATCTATCCATCCTCCGGCAAGGCAGCGATCCCCAGGCTTCCCAGGGGTCCGCGTGCCTCTCATCCTGCAGATATTTACTGAGCGCCCACACTGTGTGCCAGACCCTGTGCAAGTGGAGGAAGACAGTGGTGGAGAGGACGCCAGCCCTGCTGTTAGCGCACAGTGGGCTGTCAGGCCTGTCACCGACAGCTAGAGTCGTGGCTGGGCTGGGATGAGGCATGCAAGCGGCTCTGGGAGCCCAGAGGAGGGGCCAGGCCCATCCTGGAGGCCCTAAAGTCTCTGAAAGGAAGACGCTTAACAGGGACTTCAAACCTGACATGTCCCAATGGAGTTCCTAGTTGTCCGTCCCCTCCCACTCCCCGACTAAATGTCCCATCATCTTGGCCAAAACCTCAACGTCATTCTTCATTCCTCTTTTCTCATCACCCTGTCCTCCTCCCCGGTCAGGGCACAGGCCCGGGTTGTGGGCTCGATCCCCAGTGTGGGGCGTGCAGGAGGCAGCTGATCCATGATTCTCTCTCATCATGGATGTTTCTCTCTCTCCCTTCCTCTCTGAAGTCAATAAAAATATATTTTTAGAAAAGAAAAGGAAACTTAAGAAAAAACCCCTATTCACATAAGTATATGTGTTTTGAGATTTAAAATAATATGATTACCTTTCAGATTAATTAAGGTGCTCCCTCTATCAGATTATAGCCCCCCCGCCCCCCCACCCCCATAGGCCATCAGCCATGAAGTGAGGTGAGATGCATGAGAGGATGAAGACAAGCGACTGGGCAGGATGCCTCTGACTTTATGGAGAAAACTGTGCCTCTCAGAGCAGAATCCTTAAGCCAGAACGTGTGTATAGGCCACCCCATCCCCAGAGGCCTGCTCCACCGGCACACTCCCCGGATCTCTTTCGGGCAGGGCGCTTTCCGGGCAGCCTTGCAAGGAGGCAACCCCGCAATCCGGTTCCACCCCGTAACCCGCCTCCCTTCTCTTCTAGTCCAGGAGAAGAGGACCCTTCACACCCGCCCGGACCCCGCGATGCCCGCCCCGCAGTGCGCCTCCTGCCACAAGGGCCGCGCCGCCCTCCGCCGCCCGCGCTCCGGCCAAGCGCTGTGCGGCACCTGCTTCTGCGCCGCCTTCGAGGCCGAGGTGCTGCACACGGTGGTCGCGGGCCGCCTGCTGCCGCCCGGCGCCGTGGTGGCCGTGGGGGCCTCGGGCGGCAAGGACTCCACGGTGCTGGCGCACGTGCTGCGCGAGCTGGCGCCGCGCCTGGGCATCTCGCTGCGGCTGGTGGCCGTGGACGAGGGCATCGGCGGCTACCGGGACGCGGCGCTGGCGGCCGTGCGGCGCCAGGCGGCGCGCTGGGAGCTGCCGCTCACCGTCGTGGCCTACGCCGACCTGTTCGGGGGCTGGACGATGGACGCCGTGGCCCGCAGCACGGCCGGCTCGGGCCGCAGCCGCTCCTGCTGCACCTTCTGCGGGGTGCTGCGGCGGCGGGCGCTGGAGGAAGGGGCGCGCCTCGTGGGAGCCACTCATGTCGTGACGGGTGAGCGCATGCGCGCGGCAGGAGGGACGCTGTGGGAGGAAGGGGCGCATGCGCGGGCGAGGGCGGACCTGACGGGGGCTGAGGCGCATGCCCGGGAAATGAAAAGGAGACCCGGGAGGATCTCAGTAAAAGGCTGTGCGTGCCCCCCAAAGGCTCAGGGGCCTGGTATGTGCGGGCCCCTGCAAGGGGGCAGGGCAGGCGTGGAGAGCTTTTGAACCACTGCCATCACCTTGGTGCACACACAGTGGCCAATAGAGGGCTGGAGGGGTCCCCTTAGGGCCTAGGGCCGTGGTTCTCTGCATTTTAAGAATGACATTCTAGCCCTGGCTGGTTTGGCGCAGTGGATAGAGTGCTGGCCTTCGGACTGAAGGGTCCTGGGTTCGATTCCGGTCAAGGGCATATGCCTGAGTTGTGGGCTCAATCCCCAGTAGGGGGCGTGCAGGAGGCAGCCGATCAATGATGCTCATCATTGGTGTTTCTATCTCTGTCTCTCCCTCTCTCTCTGAAATCAATAAAAATGTATTTTAAAATAATAATAATAATGACATTCTGTAGGTTTCCCCTCAAAAAGGAGTGTGCAGGGATGTCTCCCATCTGTAGTCTGACACGTAACTGTGTCTTTTAACTTCTTTTCTCTCTCGGTTTGCCTCTCATTCTCTCTTACCCCCTCCCAGTCATCCCTTCAACAAGTAATTATTGACCACTTCCTGTGCGCCAGATGCAGGCCATGTAGCCTCTAGCTGAGCGCCTAGCCTCGGTCCCCTTTTGTAAGTTGGGGATATTAATAACGCCTGGGTCCCGGGGATGCTGAGAGTTAGGTGCGTTATGTGTGAAGCACTTAGACCACAGGCCGAGAAGCAGTGACCCTGATACAAACGTTTGCGGTTATGGTGCACAAGTCAGCCGGCTCCTGCCCGGCTCTCACATAACATAATTACAACCTGAGAGGCGCTGCTAAGGAAAAGTACGCTTTGCGAATTTGCAACAGGGGGACCTAGAGGAGGGAGAAAGGCGGGGGTTAAGGGAGCGTTTGGGAGTGAGCGGAGGCCTGAAGGCTGCGTGGGTAACAGGTGAAGGGCGAATAGAGGTTGGGAGAGGTGTTCTGAGCAGAGGAAACAGCCCATCCAAACGCCCTGCGGAGAGGATGTGGGCCGATGGAGACGCCCTGAGAAGACCCGGGTTTCACTGTATAGAAAAGTCTATGATGACAAAATGCAGAGTCAGTAGGCGTTTAGCTTACAGTTTCTGGTGACTGTCTGTGCCGTCACTTTCCCCGCGACCTGCAGCCCCAGGGGCACTGTGTCAGCAGCCTGTTGAGAGTCTCCATAAAGTGCCCTTGACTTTCGCTGTGCAGCCTGAGTGCACTTGACACTGAGGCTGGAATGACATCTGCAGCTGAAAGCACTGTTACTCCCTCCGTCAGGGCGCGTCCAGCACAGGGCCTGCCCGGCCCGGTAGGTGGGTGACAGTGAGGGCGTCCCAGGTGGCTCCACGGGGGCCTGTCCTCTCCCTTTCTCACCCTTCTGCTCCCCACCCCCTGCGCCCCCGGGTCCCCATGACCAGCAGCGCCCCTGCGCCCTCCCTGACCGGCTCCCCGTCTCTCCCGCAGGCCACAACGCGGACGACATGGCGGAGACGGTGCTCATGAACTTCCTGCGGGGCGACGCGGGCCGGCTGGCCCGGGGCGGGGGCCTGGGCTCCCCGGGCGAGGGGGGCGCCCTGCCGCGCTGCCGCCCGCTGCAGCTGGCCTCGCAGAAGGAGGTGGTGCTGTACGCGCACTTCCGCCGCCTGGACTACTTCTCCGAGGAGTGCGTGTACGCGCCCGAGGCCTTCCGCGGCCACGCGCGCCACCTGCTCAAGCTGCTGGAGGCGGCGCGGCCGTCGGCGGTGCTGGACCTGGTGCACTCGGCCGAGCGCCTGGCGCTGGCCCCGGCCGCCCGGCCCCCGCCCGCCGGCGCCTGCTCCCGCTGCGGGGCGCTGGCCAGCCGCGCGCTCTGCCAGGCCTGCGCCCTCCTGGACGGCCTGGACCGCGGCCGGCCCCGCCTGGCCATCGGCCAGGGCCGTCGGGGGCGGGACGAGGTGGGGCCGGCGACGGGGACTTCGCAGGAGAGGGAGCAGGTCCAGCCCCCAGCCCGCGAAGCCGTTCCCGCTGTCCCCACCTTCTAGGGACCCCAGTTCTCCACTGGGACCCGACCAAGGAGCGCCTGTAAATGACACTGTGAATAAATCCGAGTGACCTTTGCCCAGGGCTTCTGGGAGGGGGACACGACCGGTTACCTCTGACCCTGCAGGAGCTGGGGACCTGGGCTCCAGGGTCTGAGGGAGGAGGGGCTGAACAACTTTCCACTCCTGAGCAAGTGGGAATTGGGGGTGGGCCTGGGGGGCTTGCCTCACATCTCTGCTACCTTCCCGAGCACCTACTGTGCGCAGGCGTTTCCTGTTTGCCTGTAGAGCGGCGGTTCTCAACCTGTGGGTCGCGACCCTTTTGGGGGTCCAACGACCCTTTCACAGGGGTCGCCTAAGACCATCGGAAAACACACATATAATTACATATTGTTTTTGTGATGAATCACTATGCTTTCATTATGTTCAATCTGTCACAATAAAAATACATCCTGCATATCAGATATTTACATGACAATTCATAACAGTAGCAAAATTACAGTGATGAAGTAGCAACGAAAATAATTTTCTGGTTGGGGGTCACCACCACATGAGGAGCTGTATGAAAGGGTCGCGGCATGAGGAAGGTTGAGAACCCCTGCTGGAGCGGGATAAACAAAGCCGCCTGACTTGATGGGCGCACCCGGCTCCGTCATCACGGTGCTTCTCTGGGCCCTGCTGCACCCTGCAGGCCCGCCCCCTCTCATCAATTGCACAATCTCATTGGCTGTAGCCTGAAGGGCGGAACCTGGCCTGGGGTCACCTGGCTGGGGAGGGACCGAGCTGGGGGTCACACCAGGGTCTGCCTGGGGCTCTTCAAGACCAGGGAATGGGCCCCACCCCCTCACACCCGAATCCCTCCTGGTGTCTGTGATGGGTGAGGCGCCGCTGGGTGAGCTCCCCAGACCTCCTCCGCTTTGGAGGCCCAGCTCAGTGAGCCTGGGTCTGTGACTTGACTTCTCTGGTCTTCAGTTGCCGCCTCTGAAAATGGAATCAGAGCCGCTCCCCCCCGCCCCTCCGCCCCCCCATCAAAGCACTGTTGTGAGGACTTGGTTGCTCACCTTAAGGTTTGGCCACCAGGGGCTCTGGGTTTCAGGGTTACTGTCCTGCTAGTCCCCCAGGTGTGAGACCCCTAAGGGAGACTTGGTGTTCCCACCTCCAAGCTTTGCTGGGCTGGTGTCTTGTCAGGAATGCCCTCTCTTTCCCCTCTTCCTGCTCAAATCCTCCAGGGTCCTCCTGGAGGCCTCCTGACTCTCTCCTCCCACCCCACCCAGACCCCATCTCCTGGATCCAGCCCTCTGGTGTGGCCATGCACACTCTTTGGGTCTCATCTTTTTCTAATTAGACTAGAGGCCCGGTGCATGGAATTCATGCACAGGTAGGGTCCCTAGGCCTGGCCAGCAATCAGGGCTGATGGGGGCCTTCTGGCTGCCGGCCTGGGCCTTCCTCCATTCTGCACCGCCCCCTGGTGGTCAGCACACGTCATAGCGAGCAATTGAACTCGGGTCTCCGGTCAAACTCCCGAGGGGACACTTTGCATATTAGCCTTTTATATATATAGATTGGGCTGGAGGACAGGGACCAGGTACCCTGCCTCTTCCGTGAGCGAATCAAGTATTAACATTAAGAATTCATTCAACACATGTTTATTGAGCCCCTTGTCTGTGACCTGTGTGTCAGGTGCTAGGAGTTCCTCAAGGTGCTAGGAATACTGCAGTGAACAGAAGACGAAAGCCCCTCCCTTTCTGAAGTTCACATTCTGGGAGGCACAGACAATAAGCCAATAAACCATGTCAAGTCGTGGTGAAGGCAACAACTAAAGTGGGATAAGGAGAGAGGGATGGGTGGCAAGAGCCAGTCTCCACAGGGGTCAGGGCAAGGCCTCTTGGAAGCGGTGGCATATGAGCCGAGAGCAGAATAAAGCAAAGGGAAGAGCTTCCCGGGTGAGGGAACCGCGGGAGGTGGGAGTAAGCTTGGTGATCCAGGGGACAGCAGGGAACTGTGTCCCGAGCAGAGTGCATAGGAAGAACAGCAGCAGATGAGGTGAAGCAGTAGCCAGGGTGGGCTGTGCAGGGTCTGCAGAGGCAAGACCTATTTGCATGGAGCCTAAGAGTGATGGTAAACCATCGGGCGGCTTTCCACCAAAGAGGTCAAGATCTGATTTCCAGCCCTAACCGGTTTGGCTCAATGGATAGAGCGTAGGCCTGTGGACTGAAAGGTCCCGGGTTCAATTCCGGTCAAGGGCATGTACCTTAGTTGCGGGCTCGATCCCCAGTATGGGGTGTGCAGGAGGCAGCTGATCGATGTTTCTTTCTCATCGATGTTTCTAACTCTCTATCCCTCTCCCTTCCTCTCTGTAAAAATCAATAAAATATATTTAAAAAAAAAAAAAAAAAAAAAAAAAAAAAAGCTCACTCCAGCTGCAGTGAGGACAGTGGACTATAGGGGGCGCAAGATGATCAAGGTCGATTGGGATGCCTTTTTTAAAAAGAATGCTTATCTTTCAATTCCAGTTGACATACAAATCATATTCATTTCAGGTGCATAACACAGTGATTACACATTAATGTACCTTACGAAGTGTTCCCCCACCTCCAAGAGGTCTGGTACCCACCTGATACCATAGTTACCACAATGGGATGGCTCCTGGGCTGCGGGCGCTACAGAGCATTCTTCCCGTGTTAGCTCAGAGGCGTGATGGGCGGGGGTTGGTCCCCGATTCTACAAAGGATAAGCTTGTGGCTCAGTGAAGGAGGTGGGACACAGGACTCTTTTGCTGTGCTGCCTGCTGGAAGCCGGGGACCTGGGTCCTTGTCGGTGGGCCTCTGACTCACCTA